GTAAAACCTACTGTATTTACCTATATTTTTGCTTCTTGTATTCTTTCCTCCTTCCTAATATTCCAAAGGTCTTTCTTTACCATTTCCTTTCTACTTAATGAAGTTTCTCTAGCTGTCATTTTAGGGTAAGCCTGCTGACAGCAAATGCCTTTAGTTGTTTTTTCATGTTGAGGTCTTAATTTTCCCTTCATTATTAGAAGAGTATTTCTGCTGCATATAGTTTCCTGTGTTGAAAATTCTTGTCTTGCAGCAGTTGAAAGACACTCCTTGGTCTTCATGTTTTCTGATAAAAAATATTTTTTCCTTTTAAGCAAGGTATCATTTTTCTCTGGCTACTTGCAACATTTTTTTCCTTGACTTTATTTTTCTGAAGTTTAATTATGACATCTCCTGGCATGGATTTCTCTGGATTTTTCCTGTTTGTGGTCCACTCAGTTTCTTAAATCTGTATGTTTATATGTCTTAATAAATTTGAGAAATTTCCAACTACTATTTGAGTACTTCCTCTGTCTCTTACTCTTTTCTCCTGTCTTTCAAGAATTCTTACGACAGGAGTTATCTTTTGTTACTGCCCCACAGATCTCTGATGCGCTCTGTTCTTCAGATTGGAAAATTTTCTTGATGGGCCCATCCACTGAGCAAAATTTCAATTTTTTATTTTTTTCAGCACCAAATTTCCATCTGGTTTTTTTCTTCCTTTCCTGTGGCTTTCCATGTTTTTCATTTGCTTCTAGCATTTTGTAATTTCTGAAAACATTTTTATCCTGTATTTTATAATCTTTGTCAGTAATTCTAACACCTCTGTCATCTCAGTGCTGACATTTATAATTTTAGATCCTCCTGATTCTTGGTATGACAAAAGATTTTCAACTGAAACCTGAACTTGCTCACATTATATTATGAGACTCTAGATCTTTATTTACAGCTTCTGTTTTAACTGGCTTTCTATGACACTGCTCCAGAAGGGAAAGGTTGGGGGACGAGGTACCACTTCATTATTGCCAAGTAGAAAGAGAAATCCAAGTGTCTCAATTGGCTTCCATTAACACCCAAGTGGGAGTCCAGGCTTCCTACATGGCCTCCACTAGCCAAGGCTAGGATGGCTTCTTTACTACTTGGTGATAGTGAAAGATACACTTTTTATGTAATCCTCTTCTAACACCACCCCAGCAGGGCAGGGAATGGTACCTCACTATTCTGGGTGAAGATGGCAGCCCAGGTCCCCAATATGGTATCCATAAATATGGCAAGAAGGTAGAGGGTTGGAAGAGAGAGTTTTCATGACTGGCCAGGAGGTAATAAGTCCCAGCTCTCTGTGTGGCCTTCTCTGATACCACCTTAATGATAGTATTGGGACATTTTGTTACAGCCTCATGAGGGAAGAATTCTAGGCTTCCCATTTAGCCTTTTCGGAGCATGTGGTACCATGGTTTTCCTGTAAGTAGAGCAGAGACAGTCTAAAAGTTTTGTCTTGCTAAGCAGTTCTTTTCCTAGTTGCTTGGCTAGAAAAAATGGGTTCTAGCAGAGTTTTGTTTTTTGTGCCTGATGACATTTGTAGGTTGCTCGCTTATCCAGACCCAATCTGGGATATAGGAGGCAAAAAGAAAATCGGGTGGTGCCTGTAGCTCAGAAGAGTAAGGTGCCAGTCCCATATGCTGGAGGTGGCAGATTCAAACCCAGTCCTGGCCAAAAACTGCAAAAAATAAAAAGCAAAAAGAAAATCAAGGGAACCCACTACAATGACATCTCTAAGGTCCCAAGGCCCTTAGCCAGCCTTTCTTCTACCCTCTACCTTTCAATTTCTTCCTGTGTTTGCACTTACAGTGCCAAGAGTTCTTGGTTGTACTTACTGAGAGAAAGGGGAAAGCATGTCAATCTCATCCTCCCAGAGCAGAAGTCCTCCTAAATCCTGTTCCCCTCTCACCCCAGGTGATAGAATGATAGAAGCTACAGTGACAGGGGTTTTTGTTGTATTCACCACTGTATGCCCAGAGCTTACAACAGGCCTCACTTCTCCATCCTGGCTTTAACTTACATAGCCAGCTTCTGCCGTGGCTTTTTTTTTTTTTTGAGACGGAGCCTCAAGCTATCCCCCTGGGTAGAGTGCCATGGCATCACGCTCACAGCAACCTCCAACTCCTGGGCTCAAACGAGTCTCCTGCCTCAGCCTCCCAAGTAGCTGGGACTACAGGCGCCCGCCACAGCGCCTGGCCATTTTTTGGTTGCAGCCATCATTGTTGTTTGGCGGGCCCGGGCTGGGGATTCGAACCCGCCACCTTAGGGGTATGTGGCTGGCGCCTTAGCTGCTTGAGCCACAGGCGCTGAGCCAGCCATGGCTTTTATTAGAGGAGGTGGGGATAGGGTGCTTTAAGATAAAAAAGCAAAAGTTCAAAAATTACTATACTGAAAAACCTGAACTAAGGTCTCATTCAATTCTTATATTCTGTAATTAATTCCTGCTTCTCAGCTATATTCCACAGGAGATCATCACCTTACTGAGGTATGACTGCAAATAAAATTAATGCATACCATTTTAAAAGCCTCCTCTTTTTTCAATAATGGGGCTTTAGAGTGAATTAAGTAGATAACTGTCTCAGTTTTCAACTTTACCTGTTATCAGTATAGCCTGCATTGTGTCCAAAGGACATTTTGTCTTCCTCTAGAAAAATTTAATGTTTAAAGTAAATGCTCTTTTACTTCAAAAATAGGCAGTAGCTCTAGAAAAGTAAATCTCGCAACCTCATGAAGTTATACATTTTTAATTTATACTTCTATAAAGGAAGAGGTTGGAAAAATTAGTTGATATAACTAAACCTTAAGTGAACAGAGTGTACCATCAAAGTAATTATATAACTTCTTCAAAAGTAAAAGCAATTTGTTACATATTAAAATACTAAAAAATAGGAAAACATTTTTCAAGTTCCAGATACTTGAATTTTTATATCTCATCTCGAACGTTATAGTTGATTTCATAATTCATACTATAAGTGACCACAATAGTCAATTTATAGAAACTTTTTTTAAAAACATGTTTTTAATTGTTGATCTTACCCATTTTATTTTTATTTATTTTTTTGATCTTACCTATTTTAAAAAGTTAACACAAATCTTACTTTATCAGCTTTCTTACTATATTAATCACACAAATGGAATTACTATGCATAAGTCAACGAGGTATTCTATTTTCTTTTCTTTTCTTTTCTTTTTTTGAGACAGAGTCTCACTTCGTCACCCTTGGTAGAATGCCATGGCACCACAGTTCACAGCAACCTCAAGCTCTTGAACTCAAGTGATTCTCTTGCCTCAGCCTCCCAAGTAGCTGGGGCTACAGGCACCCACCACAATGCCCAGCTATTTTTAGAGACAGTATCTCACTCTAGCTCAGGCTGGTCTTGAACTCATGGGCTCAGGTGATCTGCCCAGCTTGGCCTCCCAGAGTGCTGGTATTGCAGGCGTGAGCCACCACACCTGGCCCAAGGTATTCTATTTTCATTATAGTATTTTTCAGAAATAACATTAATAGATGTGATTATTTAGAAGCAATTCAGGTTTACAATCTATATTTTGCTGAGGCACAACTTGGAAGACAGCAGACTAGTTTGCAGAAGGGTTATGGTACTAAGTCTGCTCAATCACTCATGGAACTCTCAACATGGTCTTACTGTTTTCAATTAATAGTTTTTTATGTATTCTGTGAGAGAATCATATGCTAAATGGTATACCAAATCAAAGGAATAAGATCTTAAGATGCTTGCGAACACTAAAGTACATCAGGGTCTACTGCATTCCATGTGTTTTTTAGTCATGCATTATTTATAAATTTATGTATAAAATTTAAAAATATGATCACTACACAATATAGTAAGCCTCACAGTATCTCAAAACAAGGAATACTTCAATATCCTTCACTTTTATAGAGACTTATTTTCTTATAGAAGATAACATATTAATAGTGGAAAATTTAAGAAATACAGAACAGAAATAAGGAGGGAAAAAAACTCTTTCAAAAGGCAAAATAACCAACTTTTAACCAAAAATATTGCCATCATGTGAAATTGCAAAGGATTAAGTGAATTCAGGTTTTTTTCCTCCTATGTCATTAAGTTCAGTGCTGTCTTCTGGGCCCACAGTACTGGTCAACTGATTTAAACACCAATTGTCAAACCTGGATGCTTTCAAAATGTACAGAATAGAATTAACCCTTAGACTATACTTAGAAATCTCTTTGGTAAATTGTATTACCAAAGCAGATCACTATGACTGACCTGAAATCATATCATCATGATTGTAATAAAAATGTAAGTGAAAACATCAAGTTTCTTTTAGGAAAACTAGATAATGGAATTAAAGTGGTAAAGTTCTTACTTACTGTTACCAAGATTTACACAAAATACTACTTCTTGATTTTTACTGACTATAGTTTACAGTTGTGTATTTTTAATGTCAAAAAATTTTAAATTCAGAGAGCATACAGCTACCATTTACCCATAAAATTTTAAGAGATTTATATTTCTAATGTAAATATCCTTACTGATTTAAGGAAACTAAAATCGAGCATCTCTTTTACATATCTAACTTCTTTTTACACTGCTAAAAAATTTTCAAAGATTTCTATGTTTAAGAGAGTAGAGGCTCAGCAAACAAACTGAACACCTGGAAGGCTGTTTTTAAATTGATTAAAATACTATCTAGTAACTTTTGGAATGGGTTAACTTTTAACTTAAGCTTTTATTTTAATTACTTATGAAATGTGACTTTGTTCCTTGTACGCGGCAATTAATACACTCGACATTTTTAACACATCTCAGAAACAGATGTACATCTGAGAAGAGAGATTCTTTTCTAAAGACACAGGCCAAAAGACTAGGCATTCTGAAATCAGTTTTATATTTCCCAAGATGCAGCATGGCTGTTAAGTCACGTCTGAGTGTAAGATTTCTAAAATTTCAAGCTTATAAATAGAGCTTCTGGAAGAATAAATAACACATTTTTGCTTTTACCTTTTAGCCGGTGGCTTAGAATCTGTTCCAAAATAGCTGCAAAATTGTTAAATCCCGGAGAAGAATCATCAATTGTCTCAAAGCAAGATCGATCAATCAGGGTCTTCACCGAAAACCTACGAAAAAAATTATTGTTGCTTTTAGGCAGAGTTGATTCATTCACCTACGTATGGAAACAATGAGAGGAAGCCAATTGGGGGAAGAACTGCAAAAATATTTTATAAGACTATATATTCCGAAAACTCCAGTTATTCAAATTCACTCTGTAAATAGTAAACTGTACAGAAATCTTAGGCTTTTCACTTACATGTTTACTATTTGCTGTAGTCTGAATGTTAGTGTCCTCCCCAAATTCCTACATTGGTACTTAATCCCTAGTGCGATATTATTAAGTGATGGGACCATCACTTCCCATTAACTTGGGAGGTAATCATAAGGCAAGAACCCTCCTGAATGGGGTTAGTGCTGTTACAAAAGAGGTCCTGGGGAGCTTGTCTGCCTCTTCTGCCACACAAGGACACACAGTAGGCACCATCTATGAGGAATGGGGCCTCATCACACACCCAATCTGAGGGTGCTTTAATCTTGGACTTTCCAGCCTCCAGAACTGTGAACAATAAATTTCTATTTTTATTAATTATCAGTCTAAGATATTTTGCAACCTGAAAAAACTAAGACAGTATCTATTGACCAAACCAAGGCTTCAGAAAGCTCAGTTCCCATAGGCATTAAAATAAAAATCAAAATATAACCTAAGTGATTAACTCAAAATTATTCAAAATCTATAGTATTACTACTTATAAGAAATTTGAGCTTCAGACTCAAAAGAGTTTTTGAGCACAAAATAGAATAAAAATAGTACGTGCACATTCACAAAGTATAGATCCAAGATTTTCATGACATTTAAATAGGGAAACTTGTAAATCCAAATAGTGTGCTGTATTTTTTCTTCATAGGATGTCCTTTGTCGCTAACTGACCCAAATCTGCATTTTCTACATCTCAGCTCAAATGCCCTCTCTTTAATGAAGACTTATCCACCTGCACGTTCTGAAGCACAAACTTGCATTTTGTTTGTTTGCCCTTAAAAGATAATTACAATTGATCTTACTGTGTTTTCTATCTCTACCTTACTATTATATAAATTCTTTCAGAAACATGCCTTCTGTATGTTTGTATCTTCCTCAGCACCTAGGAAAATATCTTGAACACTGTACTCAGTACTTGTTGATTTATTGGTAAGCTCTATTTTGAAAGGATGGCAAAGAAATGTTTAAATATCACACGATGGCAAGAGTGAAAAAAATAGTTTGTGATTTTTAACATGTATAGTTTCATATAACTACCATCAAAATCAAGATACAAAACAGCTTTGTCAACTCAAACTTCCTCACACTATTTCTTTACATACATATCCTATACAGGATGACATATGAGTACCAGAGACCGTGGGGAACAAGGAGAAGGGGTAACTAGGATAGCGCTTCTATAGTTTTATCAGAAATAAAAACTATCAAGGAGGTAAAAGAGTACAGAGACCATTTCCTGGGTTTTATGCTTGATGGCTATGCTGTTCAATCAGGACAGAAAATACAAGATACAGGCATAAAGGGAAATACAGATGTGTTTTGTATCTTGATTTTGATGGTGGTTATATGAATCTATACATATTAAAAACTATAAACTATATCTATTATTTCCCATATTAGAAATTAAAATGAGAAATTTTAAAATACAGGCCATCTACACCTAGCAAAGTGGTGCAGGACCATAAAAATGACCATGCAAGCTAACATTATACAAAATGATCTTTATATTCGATGAACAAATTTATAATTATCCTGTGACCTTTATAAATGTTTGTGAAAACATTAAAAACTCTCTTACAGCCAGTTATAATGTATTGGGAAATGAAGAAAATTATAAAATATATTTACTTAGTACTCTGTAATTTAATAAAACATTAGGAACACTGTGAATTCAAGTGTTTTACTTCTTTCTAAAACACTTATCAAGAGTAATCTGGCCCAGGTGCAGTGGCTCACACCTGTAATCCTAGCACTCTGGGAGGCTGAGGTGGGTAGATTGCCTGAGTTCACAGGTTCAAGATCAGCCTCAGCAAGAGTGAGACCCCTGTCTCTAAATATAGCTGGGTGTTGTGGCGGGCACCTGTAGTTTCAACTACTCTGGAGGTGAAGGCAAGAGAATCACTTGAGCCCAGGAGTCTTAAGTTACTGTGAGCTATGACACCACAGCACTCTACCAAGGGTGACAAAGTAAGGCACTCTCTCTCTCTCTCAAAAAAAAAAAAAGTAATCTGAATAGTGTTTTCCTTATTCTTTTCATTGCATAACTTAATTGACATGGATGAAGTATCTTTTCTATGACTTGGAAAATTGTCATATCTTTTCTAAATTTGAGTCAGCTCCCAACATTTTAGTCTTTACACTTTCAATGCTGTGAAGTACCTCTAAGAATCACTTTAATGTGAAGTGTCTTGTCAGCGTCACTTCCTCTGGGACATCTTTGCACTTTCTGTCACAGCCATTTTCCTAGTTTACATCAGTGAAGTTCACTTCCCTGAGTTCCTCTGGCTACATGTCTACATTCTCTTGAAGAGCAAAAATGTCAACATCCCCATGATCAACAATTTCTTCTATAACTCCATATATGTTCCATTCAAGTTTCACTTCAAGCACTATCATTTTCTATTTCTTTTCTGTACTTTCATCTTTGAAAATTGGCCAATTCATTCTTTTGATTACCCATTTTTTTTTTTTTGAGACAGAGCCTCAAGCTGTCTCCCTGGGTAGAGTGCCGTGGCATTACAGCTCACAGCAACCTCCAACTCCTGGGCTCAAGCGAGTCTCCTGCCTCCGCCTCCCAAGTAGCTGGGACCACAGGCGCCCGCCACAACGCCCGGCTATTTTTTGGTTGCAGCCGTCATTGTTGTTTGGCAGGTCCGGGCTGGGGATTCGAACCCGCCACCTTAGGTGTACGTGGCTGGCGCCCTAGCCGGTTGAGCTATAGGTGCCGAGCCGATTACCCATTTTTGTAAACCATTACCAGTTTATCACCAGGAACAAGGAGGCAACAGAATTACAGGCTTTGCTTTCTGTGCACAAAATGAACAATAGATGCATAGTGACCAATCCTAGACAGACTTGGAAAGAAGTGATATGATTAATCACTGATCATGATGTTCATGTTCTATTTATGTAGTGATGTGTGAACTAAGAACAAGCAGCAAAATACGTACTTCGTGCAATTACAGCTAATACGTACTGTACATATGGTGGTGATTCAAACTGAACCCTTGTTTCATTAAATGACGTTATTTAATGAAACAGTGAAATTCTGGAACCATGTATAAGTAAAGACTTTCTTTTTTATTAATTAAAAACAAAATAATTGCATCAAATATTACATAAATAATAATTTATACAACTGTATTTTCCAAAACAAAAATTTAGAAAGAATAGATTGTTAGTAAATATCTTTAATGTTGAATTTAATAGAAAATAATTAGATTCTCTTATCTGCTTCTATATTCAATCTATTCAAATATTCTGGAAAACTCCACGGTATACTTGTCAGAGCATAAGAATGAAAAAGACAAACCATGTCTTGGAACTATTGAGAAAGGGTCTGGGTCCAGGAGCACACTAAGAAAATCATTACCCTAAGGCAGGCGTCCTCAAACTATGGCCCATGGGCCACATACAGCCCGCTTAGGACATTTATCCTGCCTGCCGGGTGTTTTGGCCGCTGCTGCCGGTCCTGCTTAGCAGCCGACTTGTCCTGGAGCCTGCAGTCTGTCCCTCCAATGGTCTGAGGGACAGCGAACTGGTCCCGTTTAAAAAGTTTGAGGACTCCTGCCATAAGGCATCCTTGGCAGGTAATGAAATAACTCTCCCACGCAACTAGAATGGCACCAATTACATACCATTAGACAGGGTGGCTGTGGAGTTCGTGTGCAACTAAAATAGTGAGCAATTTAAAACTGCACATGAACTTTATGTTCACCCTGTATATCTTTGGAAGAATTAAGAAATTAGTCACTCAACTTTCGGTCTTCTTTAGTTCAGATGAGTAACCCTGAGAAAGGCTGAGATAGACTAATGTTCAACTACCTAGTATTATCTAAAGCAGCAACTGGAGCATAACGCAGGAAGTTACTATGTAGTAATAGGAAAAAAAGGACACCTAGGAAGTCACACTGATGAAGTTGCTCTCCTGTAACTAAAGGAGAGCCAAGTTAAATAAATACTAGATGTAATGCATGGTTTAATGAATAGAAACAAAAAGAAAAAAAGGGAACCCAGATTTAAAAGGGACTTGACAACTTTTGTTTCAGATGTACATTTCATTCACAATACATGAAAAAAATGCTGCCAATCTTCAGCAAGAATAAATGAGTACAACATTCTAATGCAGTAAGAGAATTAAATAATAGTGTTCCTAAAAGGAATAAACAAAAAACACACAGTCTCTGGGGCGGTGCCTGTGGCTCAAAGGAGTAGGGCGCAAGCCCCATATAGCGGAGGTGGCAGGTTCAAACCCTGCGGCCAAAAACTGCAAAAAAACAAACAAACAAAAAAAAAAACACACAGTCTCTACCTCCATCTTTGACCTTAACAGACTGAACAGAAAGAAATTTATGAATGTTTTCTCTAATCTTTATTCAAGAGAATGGATTAAGAAAGCTAACTGTGCAACCACATTCCTGAAGATAGAAATAACCTATTGCTTTAAAACATTATATCATCTCAGATAGTAATGTACATCCATGCAATAAACTGAAAATTATGTTTAAAAACAAAAATAACAAACTGCTATTTCATCACACACAAAAAGCTGAGTTATAACTCAATTTCTACCTTTAACAGTCTGATAACGTTTCAGTCATTATTGTTCTCCAGAAATGACACAGAATTACCTAACAAATTACCTACACTGTAAAATGTAATAATCCAGGGCTATTAACATATATATTATATTTGAGCATCAAGAGACATTTAGAGATCAATTACTAGTCAACAAAATACACAATTTTTTAATGTTATCAGATTATATTCATACGAAAGATAACATCTGCATGATAAAAACCTAAGATG